GGCATGAAAGAGGACATGACTGGCCAACGTTCAAAGCCTAGGGGCCCCAGACTGCTCCGATCTCCCCAGAGGTGCTCTGCCACCTCCAGCCCTCATCAAAGCAAGGAGACAGACCGAAACTGAGGAACGGCAGTGTGACATTGTGTGTGCGTCTGAGTGCTTGCGATACTGCTTGAGCATAGAGCTATAGGCAAAAGAAAAGACAAAAAACAAACAGAACACAAAAGAATGGATTTTAAACACTCTGACATGGTATAATTATTTAACAAGCAGAATGGTTTAGTCTGATAAAAGCCATGGTCTGAAATGTGTGACACTTTGGAATACGTATTAGCAAATTTACATTTCAGGCATATGACTGATTAATGGTTTGTTAGATAAGAGCTACACTAATGCCTCAGCTGCTGTATATTACACTTTGAATGAATACTACAGTTCTGTAACGACTAAAGAGGAAGAGATTGGAGGGATCATATCAACATAGCATGTCATTATTGACTATGCAGAAACAAACTAAGCTGCCGGAGGAGCAAACGTTGGCAGTTTTATCAATCACAAAGCAACTTTTTTGCCCCTCTGGCCCTGTTGTGTTTTTTCATGGCACTAAAACAAGATGGGTGGAGTAGAGCGGCCTTAGACAGACACACACACAGACCTTGTCAAAATCACATCAATATCTTTTATGTATGTGGACTTTCCTGCTAGAGAAGCCAACCTAGATTATTCAACAAGTCTCTTCCACAGCGTTAGTGTAGTGATGTGACAGCGCGACAAAACAGCTTTTTCCTGAATAGGTTTGCTTGGCAAAAACTTCAACCATAAAAAGGGAAAAAGCAACAAACCCCCTGGAATCCATTTAAAAAAAAAGACCATCAGACTTGCACTTCATCTTCAACATATACATGTTATACAGATCAAAAAGAGTTGGCTATGGCTGAAATCCATTCAAATCTCCCCTGCTGATAAACTATTGGTCTTACCAACAATATATTCACCCTGCTCGTTTCCTGACTGTGCTGCACTGCACCAAGGCTGAGCTTTCATCTTTGAATCCCAACATTTCTATAAAGTTCAGTTGAGCTTGCGTTTGCACTTGAATGGTGATGGACCCCTTTTTGTTTGTTTTTAAATTGTTAGTTTGGTGATCTTTTTTCTTTTTTTTTTTTATAGTGGACATTTCTCTTGGATGGGTATAATCTACTCCCAAGCTTGTTTTTGCCTCCTGCAGAGTAACACTACCATTAACTGACAAGTGTGTGTGTGTGTGTGTGTGTGTGTGTGTGTGTGTGTGTGTGTGTGTGCGTGCGTGCGTGCGTGCGTGCGTGCTAGCGTGCATGTGTGTATTGGAAAGCAAACATCTCTGGAGGTTTGGCTCGGTCGTAAGCAACAAGCATGACGATGCAGAGGAGAAAACAAGAAACAGAGAAAAGAAAAATGACCATTAGACAGTTTCATGGTAAGTTGTGTTCAAATATATTAATAATTACTATCAATTGCACAATACAGGAAAATAGTATTTTCATTACTGTATGCAGTTTAATGTAAATAATGACTTTATTTTGCGGGGGCATGATGTGTGGGCAATAATGTACCTTGAAATTGAGACTGAAATGGAGGAAAAGAGAGGAACTGGTGAGAGGAGGAGAGGCAGACTGGCTGGGCTTAAAAAGCAAATTTTGTCCAGTGTTCTGAAATCTGATCGACTGAAAACTAAAGGCTTTTTTTCACAATATGATTCTCGTCTAGTTTGCGCCTCAACTGTCTTTGTCAACACGCAGCACATCAATTTCGCATTACATCCTGACAGACAGCTCGCCGCTCTCAGCTCGCCCCTGTTATGGTGTGCATTTCTGAGCGTGCGTTTGTAACGAGTTTGTCTCTCTATGCTCTGTTTTCTTCTGCTCTTGAACTCACGTGTCCGAAAACTTTCTTTTCTTTAACTCTTCTAGATTACTGGGTTGCACTGGGCAGGGGGTGATGGTGATACAAGCAGAACATGTGCCACACTGATAAATGGAAAATTTCAATAATTCAGACACTTTGTATGTCTGGCTGCAACACGAGACCGTCTCACCTACTCAAATCTGTAAACACCTGATGAATGGGAGCAACAACATCCCTCTTCAGTTCGCGCATTGGAAATCACTGGCAAAATAGATGCATCAGACTGAAAAAGAGATAATCATTACCATTTTCTATCTACAGAGTGGAGAAGTGCAGACTGGCTTGATTCACTGTGCCTACACACATGGACCCAGCGTCAAATTACCTGTGATACCAGCTTCCTTGAACAAATTTCACAAAGTGGAAACAAGAGACATTTTTACTTGCTCCTTTTCTGTTATTTGATGCCTGCAGTGGTGGGTCTTTTAAGGTAGCTATAGTAAAATAAAAAAATAAAATAAAATAAAAACTACTGGAGTAATTTCACACGGAGTACAACTTTCAAAAGACTCCTCCGCAAAACCATTTCTGAGATGGAATAGAAGTCAAATTTGCTCCAGGTGAAGAGATGTAATGTATTATTCACCAAAATGAAGTCTTTTCAAAGTTGTCCCTTCACTTCATACAATCGGATGAGGGAAGGGAGATGAGAAGGGAAGTAGAGGTGGGAGTTTGGGATGGCAAGCGAGGAAAACAGAGCTATTCTCTGAAACATGACAGCCCTGAAGGCTCGACGCACCGTTCTGCGTGCGGTGTGCTCCAGAGATGGAATGACTACTTACAAAGACAGCAGTGTCTTGGGGATAGAAATAGACAGGTGCATTATTCAGGACACATATCCACAAGTGCACATGTATATACACAGACACACAAGGAGGCAGGATGGGTGGGAGGTGTAACACAAATATAACTCAACAATCGTACGTAAAAGTGAAGCCACACAGTGAGAAGATTTTTGGCTTACGCTGCATGCTGAGGGCTCGTAAACCAATACATATATTTCAGTAAAAATGCCTGCACTGTGTTAAAGGCCCTGGAAACCGATTTTTCAGTGACCTAGTACTATAAGCAATGGCTTCCTACATGGACACATTATTTTCTGCTAATGTTAGGAAACTGCTCTTTCACTTGAGAAATGTCTGTATTTGTGTTTTGCCTTGTGCTTTTCTCATCGATTTCAAGTGGGCTGATCTCTGCTGGAGAAAAGCTGATGTCCCAATTTTCTATCTACCAATCTGGATTTCACAAATGTTACTTGGATGTTTAACCTTCCCTGCAGAGAATGATGCAGGCGCAGACTTTGACACACATTTATTTCCTGAAGGGGGGGAAAGTTCCTCTGTGGTTAAAACTTTGGAAAAGAAAAATGTTTGCATAGTCAGACATTGTCGGTGATCATTGTGGAAGATTTTTTTGTGGCGAAACCATATCAGACACTAATTATCTTAAAACAAGTTTGAGCTGAATCTTTAACTTGATTAGTTGCACATATTTAATATTAGTGAGAAAGACTTGTAAAGAAGTTGTCATGTGATTTAAAGACGAGTGACAAAAGGGTCATGAACTCATGTGGTCCGAGTCACTGAGTGTATAAATGCAGCCACTAAGTCTCCCAAACATATTCCTACATTATTGTTTTAAATTGTTTTACTGTCAACTGATATTGCTTGACCTTTAGGGATTTATCTACCAAAAAACAGATTTCACCTGCATTTGGAAGTTGCTGCGTATAATCTCAGACTCTGACCTCTAACACAGTTCAGGCTTGGCGAAGATAGGATCTAGAAACAACACAGCAAAAACTCCTTAAGCTGCTCAACTGACACAGAACGAGTTTGTGGACACAGATCCAGTGCCCCGGGGGATTTTTTTTTTTTTGCAGAGATACTGGTTCTATGTCTGGTTCATAAACGTTAGCATCACAATGAAATGAAGCTTATTTGGCTGTAAAAGCTCAAACAAACAACCTGGCAGATTGAATTACCAAAGCGAATCTGCAATTCATTAACAATAGAGAAGCGCCAGGTTTCGTTTCACATCACAAATTGCTTCATTGTCTGTGTTTTGTTGCTTTGGGAGAGGGCGTTTTAATTTTCAAAGAATAGTCCAGCGTCGGCACTTTTTGGATAAATCCTATATATTTTTTATGTTTCCGCTTTCACTGCAGTTTATAGAGATCCATAATTTCCTTTTCTTGAGTTATTTTCATTTTTATTGAACTTGATTTTATTTTGTTTTCCATGAATGCTATTATTTACTTTTTTATTATGTTACTTTAAACATTAGGAATAGGAGGCAGTCCCTTTTAGTTGATTTCTACACTGTCAGGGTGTTTTCCTTACAGTTACATTACGCTTCACTGACAGACACAGAGACACACACAGAGACACACACACACACCACTGACAGCCACTGGAGATTCAAAAGCACTGCCTCGAAAGACTGTGGGAGTCAATTATACCACTGTGATCTGGGCCATAGATTACGCTTATAATAATATTAGTATCTAATTACTGCCTTGCATCCTTCACGCCTCTTCTGCACTCCTTAATCATTATCGCCCACTGGCCTCGAATCACAGATAGTACACAGCGTTAAAAGGAAAAAATAGCACTTACTATTTGTTCTCATTATAGAGCTACTGTTCTTTTTCTATACACACGTTTATGTGTACACTGGGGCAAGCTACATTTATTGTAGACCTGCTTTGCCCTGTGTACCAGCTGTGCAAGTCACTAATGGAGGGCAGAGCTGGAGCAGACACACACACACACACACACACAGCTAAGTGCCTATGTAGAGCTGAGCAGCGAGGGGAGGAGGGAGAGGCAGAATTCAAACATGCAAAAGGAAAAGCTTTACAAAGAGCTGTTGCATATAAAGTGAGCTGAATGCTTAATGTCAGGGTCTAATTAGGCCGTGTCTGTCTGTGTGGTTATGACAGACAGAGAAAACCACAGATGACGGGAGACGGAGATTGACAGATGGAGAGACAGGACGATAGGTCTGACTTGCAGCACTCTGACTGTGTTTCTCAGCGAGGTGTTAGCACAAACCTGATGTCCAGACAGCGCAGCATGGGATCGGCAGCCGTACCCAGCACCCAGATGGTGAAGCAGACCAGCAGCAGAGAGGTGGTGAGGATGGTGCGCCCCACTTCTGTGGATGTGTCTCTTACAGCCAGGCTCAGCGCCACGGCTCCCCTCAAACCTGAGGGCAGAGAAGACATTTCTGAGCAAACAGTGGGATTACTGCCATCCATCAAACCACAGGACAACCGTCTACCAATCAATTATTTGAAAGAAGCAGTGGAGAGCAATCCAGTTAATAACTCTTTCCGTAGGTAACAGATTACACCCTGACTACCACTGTCATTGAGCAGTTACTGAGCAGCAAACAGTCCTAGAACAAACTTGTAGATTGCTGTACAGTGGTGACATAACGCTTAAAGCCAAAACAATTCCCGGAGCAAATCCTTTGCTGCCATGAGAAACAGATGGGGGAGTTGGTGGTGGTGGTGGTGGTGGTGATGGCGGTGGTAGGGGAGTTTTGAAAAATAGCAAGACAAGGGCTTTTTACAAAAGAAACCTTATGTAAGAGGTAAAGTGGGTCAGGCAAGCAGCAAAACATGCTGCTGCTGCACAACCCCACATCACTCCATATCAAGCATTCCTTTCTCCTGCATCATCAAACCGTCCACAGATTCAACCTTTAGTCTCACAGGCCAAAGTTTGATGTACTCTTCCTCCCAAGACACAGCTACAGAAATGGCTGAGAGTGAATTGTTAAAAAAGAAATTTAACATTAGGATGATATAGATTAGTACCTTCTGTAATGAGGGTAGTGAATTATTATAAAGCCTGGGGACAACGCTGGTCTTTGTGTCTGTTTTACTGACTTCATGCGCGCGCACACACACACACACACACACACACACACACGTCCACAGGGGACATATTCTCTCAGCATCCTCACTAATGCCATTAGCTGCAGGCAGTGAGGAGAATGGAATAATTAAAGAGCTTTCACGGGATAAATCAGGGTAAAAGTTTTCATTTTTGAGGGTCTTGCGGAAATAACATCACCACTTCAACATTTATCACAGTCACAGCCAGAGATGTGGTCAGACATACAAAATGGCGCTACAGGTGAATAATAAAATCATAATGAATAATGTTAAAAGGTGTCGTGATCGTTGGTAAACAGTACCTGCAAACATCATGAAGTGCTGGAAGGTTGCGGGAATCTTGTTTGTGCGGCCAAGGTTTAGCAGGAAAGACAAAGGGTAGATGTTGCATGCTCTTGAAATAAAGATGGAGAGCTATATGCATTGAATACAGATTAAGGAGAATACTTATGACTGAGAGACACTCATGGGTTCAAGTACACTTATCAGTCAGCATGTCCTCATGGAAATTTGATGGGTTTTTTTTTTATATGAAAACCACAAAGTAGTACACAAGAAAAACCAACAGCCCTGGGGACAGATTTTTGTCAGAAACGCACCAGTTACTGTTTGAGTTCTAGTTTAACTGTTTGGGATTAAGTCTGGAGTAAATTATACTGGTCAAGGTTAAGGTAAATTACTGATACGTTTTAATAGTGTAAGGTTTTGCTTTATTTATTAAAAAAATAAATAAATAAATAAATGAATAAAAAAAATAAAAAAAATCCCCTTGGCTGACTTCAAATAGCTCGATCCTTTCCATACAAAATACATGAAAGTCAATCCCATGGTAAATACAAGAGTACAAATTCTTCGTGAGATCAGGCAATAAAAGCACAGCCATGAATATTACTATACACTCGCATATATGCACATGCACGCACACAGAGATACTAGAAAAAAAAAAAAAAAAAAAAAATCTCTCTGAATATTTTCTGTTTAGGATGCAAACACAGTGTGGCACCATGCCGAGGCACAGAGCCAATCAGTCTGTGCCAGCTGTCTCTGCCCTCCACACACACTTTGATGTTTCACATAGGATGGGACTGAATGCTAAGTGTCCTGGGCAGCAGTTAGGGAGAGGATATCTGTACAATTATCAGGGACATAGCTGCCCTTCTGGATACACTTAACACCTTTTGTCGTAACTTTTAGAAGAAGTTACTGCGGCTCTATATAAACTCTTCAAACCTCATACGAGCTCGAGAGCAGCCTCGTAGGTAGGTTCTTGTTAGTGGTAGCTAATTCAAGGCTATAGGCCAGATGAAGCCGGGCTGGAGGGGATCAGGCATGCTTTTTACTCTTAAAAAGAAAACAACACACATTTCTTAGACTCTTTGAATTTTAGTGCATAAAAATAATCTATTCAGACAGGTACCCCTGCTTTAGCTTCATGGGGAGAAGGGATTTTAGCTATTATACAATAATTCTAAATATGATGCCTGGAATAATAAAAGGGACCAATATCTTAGGCAGGGGACCTTAGTCTGACAGGGCTATTACTAAAACAGAGCTCCCTCGAACCCTGCAGTCAATATTAGATCTCATGCACCCTATGGATTTTCAAAAGCAATATCCTGCTCCCAAAAGCAGTCATTTCTCTTTATCAAAGGCCTCTGGGCTATTTGAATGGAGGTAATTAAGCACTTTCATCTCAGCCTCATTTCCAATAAAGCCCATCTCCATTGTCACTGGCAAAGGCTGCAAGCTACAGTGATTAAAATCTACTGCGTAACCAAAGAGCGATTAACAGGGTCGAATTACTGGGGTTATTTCATTTTTATAGACACTTTTAGCGCCATACAAGAGGACTTTGACCTCCATTTATTCCTGTTTGTACATCCGGGTCAGCTTCCAGTAGATGTACTTCACCTTTTTTTTTTTTCCCCCCACTCTAAGTTTTTGTTATTGAGGCACAATTAAGGACAAAGCTGAACAGGCTAAGTGCTCAAGTCAAAAATGTCTCACTGGCAGACCTTCCCACTGAACATAAGAGCATTGGAGAGAGAATCTGCTCAGCCGACTCGTTCTCTGGCTCTTTTGACCCCATGATGGAAGATGGATTGTAATAATAATTGCTGGCCATCTGGGCACTGGACTGTGAAAGAACATCTCCTTGGAGTGCGGCCACTACAGTCTCTCCTCAGGCATACGCTATGGTCATGTCGGCTCTCAGGCAAGGACAATCGTACCATGGGTAGGCAGCAGTCCATTACTAGCCCTCCATTTCCCCTCAGGAAGCAAAGCTGACAGACAAAACAGCAGCTGTGAATATCACACAGCTGCTATGATAATATAACTTTAACATGTGATGAGTATTATTAGGACTATTATTAGCCTCTTTGGATATCATAGCCTGTATTGTAACTGCAATGCATTCTGGTCTACAGAGGAAGGCTGCTGCCTGAATAGAAACTAATGCATCTCCAATGATGGACTTCTGCCTGTGGTTTTTGAGTCCAGGTACAAAATAATGAATCTAATCAGAAGCTTTTGCTATTTTTAAAAAAACAAAAACAAAAAAACTTTACATTTACTGTTGATGCTTTACATAGCTGTGCATTTTTCTCCTGTCAAACTACATTGTAGATGCCCTGGAAGTAGGGCAGCAATTAATTATTTTATTATTGATTAATCTGTGTTTAGGAATTGGTGAAAGAAAAAAATGCTCATCACAATTTCCGAGAGCCAAAGCTCACATTTTCATATTGCTTGTTTTGTCCAACCAACCATCTAAAAACCAAATATTTTAAATTTACATTATAAAAAAAAAAAAAGGAGAAAAGCAGCAAATCCTCACATTTGGGAAGCTGGAACAAACAATGGTTCTGCTATTTTATATTGATAAATGGCTTAAACTGTCAATTGATTTTTAAAATCACTGTCTGGAAATTTTCGATTGACTAATTGATGAAGCGACTCATCATTACCGTCTGTTCAGTTGCTGGGGAAAAGAAAAAAAAGAAAAAAACACCACTAACCAATATCTTGCATTGCTAAGTAAGTAAATATGCATCACTAACAGCCATTTACAATGTTAAAAGCATTTTAGAGCAGATTTTTCCTTTAACAAGATGGGAATACCATCTAACCAACAGCACAGACCTCTTTCACTTGAGTTTCTAGAGCTAATAAGATTTAATCTTCAACCTCAACAGGGATATGGTGCTTAATCCACTACAAATTAAAGTACTGTAAGCTTATTTCAAACAGGCAAACATCTTTATTCCACAGAGCTTTGCTAGAGAACAGAAAACAAGCAGCGGCAACAATAATTAAAGACCTATTTAAATTTGTGTTTCATGGGCGTTCTTTAGAACAAACGCTGCACTGCAGCATCTTAATCTGCGGAGATGGTGATCATTTGAGACCGGCTGAATGGCATTTGCAGAGCTCACCAGATCAAACCTGCACAATTTAAGAGACTGACTGAGGGAATCACTGCACTGCAGCAACACAGAGGCAAGGCAGAAAACAGGAATGCCACTCTGGTCAAGTAAGTGACTGATGACTGTGCAGATAGAAATTATGACTGAAGGTAGAGGGGACAGAGCAAATCAGAACAGGGCACCATTTGTGGGGTCTGAGTGGGTTCTTGAGGCTGCACAGTAGGGAGTGAAGATGCTCCATTATGTAGCAGAAAAGGATACAAATGCTCCAGAAATGAAGAGGGCTTTGAAGACATGGTGAGGAAACATCAACAATACATATCCCATGTAGCTGAAGATGAAAATCTCCCCGAGGAAGTTGAAGACTTCAAAGAGCTGCAAATTATGAAAGGGATTGAGAGGATCATGAGAGAGAAGGTCATTCGAGATGAGGAGTTCAGGGTGGAGGGTGTGTGAATGTGTGTGTGTGTGTGTGTGTGTGTGTGTGTGTGTGTGTGTGTGTGTGTGTGTGTGTGTGTGTGTGTGTGTGTGTGTGCAGGGGGTGAAAGTGAAGGACTCAGATCGGAAACGGGTAAACAGGCTTAGATTTGTACAAACATGACAGATCCAGCGTTGATGTTATTCCTCGATCCTTCGAGGTAGCAACTGCAAACATTTACATCTGGATGACATAATGTGGGTGTATTTAGCACCAGATGCGTTTCTGTCATCACTGTCTTGCTAAAAATGTTTATTACACACAGGTCGTTTGTGGATACACATGTAAAGAATGACTGGACTTAAAAAGATTTTTGTTTTGTTTCTCATGATACTTCATAGTGGAGGAATTTTACAACACTTTAGCTCAGTCCTACACTTCCTGTAATGATGCAGGACATAATAGAGAGCTTGGGTGTCATTTACTGTAGATATAAATAGAATCGGAAACAATTTTATGAAGTATTTCTGGATAAGAAATCAAATATTAATTAAGGGCCTTATGTTGTGTCTGGATTACATTAGAGCAGATGTTATGATTTAATAAATGATTTATTAGTTTCTGTTTCTATCACTTAAACCAGCTTTGCTTTGGTCTAATTGAATTAGTGTACCTTTTCCCTTAAGAGCCACATATCACAAGGACAAGAGATGCCACAGAGGGAAATATTTCTCCTACTAGTTATTCAACCAGTGTCTGTATACGCTAAATCACTTTGTCTTTCCCTTTGAGCTGCAGCTGCATGTATAAATCATAAAAATGTAGATAAAGGCATTCTGCCAAGTAAACATACTGCACCATACACATTCATTGGCTACTACATAGCCAATTCACTTTGTAGGCAAAGGCTTCAACTGTGCTGCATCGCCTTTTAAAAGGTTTTTCTGTGATAAACAGTTAGCTGCACTGTGGCACCGATAATGAATAATAAATGCGTAGATGAGTATATGTGTGTACTTCTGATTTATTTGCTCCTCTGTGAAGCTTGCCGGTACAGTATGACAGTGGGCTGGCCTCCATCTGTGCTCTGCCTTTTAAGCAGATAGCTGGAGACTAACCTCCCACACAGACACCCACTGGACAACCAGACCACTAATGGCAATTAATGATTGCTTGCGCACGGCACGCAGGACACAAACATTGGCATCAAAAGGCAATGTGAACAAAGTGAGGAGACTGAAAAATACTGTTCAAAACAGACAACAAACATCAGTGGAATAGTGCTCAATCATCCTCCATAATCCTACCTGCTTGGTCCTGGCCCTGCCCTCAGAGGATAAATTATGAATTGTGTATCTTGCCTGGCTCAAGCCACAAAACAGCACTGCCACAATACCTGAAAAAGATAAGAAAACATGCAAGTGAATTTACAAAGGAAATCAGAAAGCAGACCAGCAAAATGGCTAATCAGGTCTTAAACATCCATGACGTGTTTGTTGTAAATGTGAGCATCAATATTTTGTGAATAAAAATTCCTAGCCGACTGTTCTATACACAGCAGGGAGTTAAACAATGTGCTGTATCTGATTAGTACAAAATATGCGAAATAGCTTATACATGCGCATATTATGTAATCAGGCTGCAAGAATGTATGTTTGTGTGCTGTTTAACACAGAGCAGTGGGGCTTCCAATGATGAGAATGAGCTGCAGGAGGTTTTAACATCATTGGAAAAAGATTTGTGAAAAGAGACTTTGTCAGACTGCAGACGAATTTTAAAATCAAAGCAACTGACTTCCAGTTTACTCCAAAAACATGATTTTTAAATTAAACCTGGAAATGATGATCAGCAGAACAATGCATGTGTGCATTGTCCCAAAGGCCCATGGGGTCCAAGTGAATCCTCCTGTCTGCAGCTACTTCTGCATTTGACCAAGAAGTATGTGACATTAGATCACACCAGCCCAACCCTGTATCCACCCATTGTCCTGGTTCCAGTGAATTCCATCTGTATAAACAACTTAATCAAAATGTGCTGTCCAACCCAACTTAAGCATCCTCATGTTTCTGGCCCAAAACTTTACTTGTTTTTCTACTCCAGGGATATGAAGCTGTGGAAATAATAAATGCTAAACAATGACATCGTCGCAATAGATCGCGCCAGATGCAGAGGAGCAGAAATTAACAGAAGGGAAACAAATGACAAGCAAAGTACAGACGGGAAAGAAATGCAAAGAAAGGCAGCTCCACAGAGACGGGAAACAGGGTGGAGGGATTGATTAGGGGCCCTGCTTGTACAGAGGAGTTTGGCTGGACCAGAGTGCTGGAATCTGAAACGCATAGCATGAAAAGGTGGGTTGCAGCCTCACAGGACATGCTTGCTTTGTTGCAGAAATTCAATTTCACATTTTTGCTCCCTCTGCTTTGAGACAGAATCACAGATGATGGCAAAATGCGAAATTACTGTGATGGGACAGAGCTGGCAGTAATAAATATGGCAGCAGAGAAAAGATAGCACCTGTGATTCTGCCTGGTAAGTGAAACCAGTCCATTACTCTCTCTCTCTCTTCACCATCCGCCTGGATGCTGACCTGTACCTGCATTATGCTAGCTCCAGTAATCCCTGCTCACAATGTCCTTTCCAGCACTGTGTAACAAAGTCTAATGGAGCATGCCAGCATGGCAGATCTTGTTTTGGTTCCATTTGGTTTAGGGCAACATCCTCCTCCTTGGTTTACATAACACAGACAGAGGTAACACATCATCCACCATCCACATAAAGGCTCTTCCGCACCGGGCACTTGGCAACAGATGAGATACATCCCATAATGAGCAGTTGTGAGGGGCATAAGATTAATGATAACAGGGCTCCCTGTGAGGCTGAGGGTCATTAGACACACCCTCACTAAACTCCAGCAATTAACTGAGACTGAAAGAGCCTCGGTTACCAAAGGACACCAGGGAGTACTCCCATCGCTCTCTGGGTCCCTGTGTATGAGGTGCTGCTTCACCCCAGACGGACCTTTAAAGACCGTTGAAAAGAGAAGCATTCCGCAGATTATTTTTGTCGGGTCCAATTTTGTACCAAGAATATAGAAGATTGCAACAGGACTCATTTTTAGATTACTGTGACCAAACATCAGCATGAAAATTGGTTTTATAACACTGCAGGTTTAAAGTCAAAATGAAGTATTTCACTATAAGCCCCGGTAACACAGCACAAAGTTGCACCTCTGCTAAAAATACCCAAGGCTTTAGTATTGGATAGTATTGAGAATCACTGCCCAAGGTTTTGCTGCTGTTTGCCTCCCACACTGGGCAGCATTCAGAGTGGTGTACTTTATAGACAGGGCATCTGGGTCCAATAGACAAAGGTCAAGTTATTTCATTAAAACCGTCTTCTCCTCCTCCACAGGCCACAGGGAGTGCTGCCAAGTCAGAGCAAGCTCTACAACATCAGCTGAATGAGTGGAATTCCTCTGACACAATCAGGGCAGGAGGAACAACAACACTTAAGTGTGCATATGTACACTACATGCATATTTCAGAGCCTATGTCTGATCGAAGAAGAAGTAGATTGCTCCAACAACTAAGCAAGGTTTTCTTCACCACCCCAAGCTACTTGTTATTTCAGATACTGTGAATCAATTACGTGAAAAAATAACAAGACAATAAGTAAGAGAATAAGAAAGAAATAAAAACCGGCCCTTGGTGTGGAATAAAGAAATCAATGGCAGGAATTGTGAAGCAGATCATGCTGTATCTATTTTCACATGTGACCTGAGCACTTCTTGACTTTCCAGGAAGGCTGTGCAAACATCTAGGGCAAAAACACTATTACACGTTGCTGCTATCTGTGGGGCCATCTCCAAACTAAAGGTGCAAACATGCTCAGACACAGGAGGGCAGACACCATTTTAAAATGAGTTATTGCTGTTGAGCCCAGAATGGGATTGGTAACTGCATTTCCCAAGTAGAGAAGAGATGGCTTAATACTTTCTTATCTAAACATTATTGACTCCCTGTAATGCCAAGGACTCTCAGAGGGTAAGGTATGTGTGTGTGTGTGTGTGTATGTAAGGAACAGGCTTTCTTCAAATGTACAGGAGGTGTGAGTTGGCTGAAAAGAACATTTAATCTGTTTTTGAGTGAGGAATTGCGCAGATGGTCATGTCTGGACAACCGAGAATGTGCACACATCATTTCCAGGTTTGTGGAGTGCAAGTGGTCACAGATGCCTTGAAAGCAACAGAGCTTGCCAATCAAACAGCTGCTTGTGTCACTGATGCTGAGGAGCAGTAAGCGAGTCAGTTCATGCAGTTGAGAAGGAATGCCTGAGGGGAAAAGGGCAGCGGTTCACTAACAGGATTTGTATTCTGTCTGACCTCCCAGCCAGCTAGAACACCATACCATTTGGCCACACACACACACACACACACACACACACACACACACACACACACACACACACACAAATGACATATAAGCCATATAGCACTCACCTGACAGTCCACTGGCTTCAGCTGAGAGAAAACTGCTCCAGGACAGAAGGAAGAGGACTGATGTTTCCACCAGTGGGCTCTCATGCAGTCGTGTGAATTTGGTGAGGTGGAAAGAGAGTTAAAGATATACAAGAAGATAATCATACAGTATTTCACACATTGCATCAGGCTAATACATGGTCGATATGGCAAATGCAATACAAATTTATGGCAGTCGGAGCAGACCACATGGACACTCCAGTGCAACAGCCTGCGGGCAGAGAAGCACTGCAGTGCTGCAAACAAATAGCAACTGCAGAAGAGGGGATTCGCCATGTAGAGTATTCCAATGGGTCTTAATGAGATCCTTTCTGCGAGTTCTCCAACAAAGTCCACATCCCACTCTTGCCCTCAAAGTATATATAGTAAGTCTTTACAGTGTTCCATCCAGAACAACACAGGACTAGAAGTTCTACTTTTGTGATAGTCACACAGAAAGTGAAGCTGAGCAGGTATACATACTGTAAGTATTATGTTTTAAGGCAGTTTACTGCTCTGCATTCCCAACCCCCCTTAACACCCTGCTGGCTTACAATAATGAAAACACATTTCTAAGTCTGATTGTTTCCATCTGTAATCATCCAGAGCAGGTATAGTAAGTAATTAAAAAAATAACTGAGCAAATGTATGTCAAACCGGATCTCTTTAAGACATTAATGTTTGAAGAGACAGCACAAAGAGCAGGATGTTGCTACGGTTGGCATCAGCAAAATCTAATAAATGCTCACTTTGTACTTTGCCCGCACCCAAAGATTAGTCACTGTAAATAAGAGCTAAGCTGTGCTCCAAACCTCCCATGACACATTCTCATTTTTCATCCTAAAGTCTAATTACTAGAAGATCAGAGAGAAATGCTGGACAACAGCGCAAGTCGAAACTTCATCAGAGGCCATTGGCTTGATTGACGACCTCTCTGTGACCATTAATGTCGCAGGAGCATTTAAGATTTAGCCGCATTGCTTTTGTTGATAAAGGTGGTACAGTAGGGGGGTTTGTTAGAGAAGCAATTACCAAGTTGAGGAAGTGGATAGATTGCAGCGGATGGTGAGGTGATAATTGACTTTGGGGTGGGAATGAAAGGATATGAGGGCTGTTATGACTGTGAATATGAAACCCAGGAGGAGGGAGCCGGCAAGCACTCCCAGAAAATAACCAACAGAGTGGAGAAAGGCAGGGGGGTTGAAGGTGTGTCCTGCCCCCATCTGGCTGTAGGTGTTGATGGCACTACAAGAAAAATAACACCACATACTCAAAAATGAAAGAGAGGCAAATTTCTATTGAAAAAAAAAAAAAAAGAAGCCAATAGCACAATTACAACAGAAGTAAATATGAGTGTTACTGACACTGAAACATTAAATCAACAACATTTTGTTGTTTATGGCTCTAAGAGAAATGCTGTCATCAGAAATACGGCCCACTAGGTTCCTGGCGTAAACCAGTCTGGAGCAGTGAGCATAAATTCACATGTTTAATATGCTGAGCAAAGCCTTTAAATGCAATTTATTGGAGTCATTCCTAAGAATACATGGCCTCCTTTAGAAGTTAAATCCTTTCCTGAAAAACAATCCATTCTGAATTATTTGCCTCTGAGACGTCTCCTAGTAGTTAGAGGGAAACGGGGGAAATACTATTGATGTTCACAAAGACAGCAGCATTGTGCTTTTCACACTGCTATAAATATTTACTTTGTGGGGGGGAAAGGGGACTTCAACATGCCAGTCATTGAGTGCAAAAGAGGCCTCACAGGGAGGAGAGAGGGAGAGAAAAATTGGGAAGGAGGGAAAGAAAGAGAGAGGGCCTGAGGTGAAGCAAGCAGAGGCAGGCAGCCATGAGTGAGTGGCTGATGGAGCTGGCTGCCTTTGTGGAATGACAGTATTTCTTAACCCACCATAGACCCTCCCATGTACTGCCTTTGGACTTTGACTGCTTTAAATGAATGTCAAACCTTTGAGTCAGCAAAAGCAATGTGAAAGTGGCGTTTGGCGTTTAAGCTTCCTTCATGTGAGCTGGCACAGCTTCTGATAGCCAGGGGAACCCAGAAAAGTTGCAATAATCCAGCTAACATGAAAAGATCCTTACGGTGTCAAAAAAATGTCTACCAAACTGTTGACAAATGAACCCATAATGCATCTCCACTTTTCATGGTGTCAGGTTGAAATGAGCTAGTACGCGCCACAACATGCCTTAATCTCCATAGCAAAAGGGGAAGAATCAATCATGCTGTTGCTAATGAGCTCAGCAAGCTGAAAAAGGGAAAATCTATTATGCCCTCCATGAAAATAAAGACTCCAGTTGTGTTAGCACATTAAATTTGGCGACTAGTCACTTGTTCTCCATGACCCTCTGTGAAACTGTATCTCCAGACATCTGGTGCTGCTAATTCCAAGTCAAAATTCTTCAAGATGTCAACACAGGACCTGGTTGAATAGTGGCTGCGTCAGGGCTGCTGGAGCAGGAAGTTTAGTGCCTGTGAGAGGGCACATCAGCGTAAGGTTGAGCTGCTCCCGGAGCTTGTTAAAATTCCAGTGCCAGGACCCCGCGTGGCTCACTAATAAGGGCCGGCTTTGTGTGTGGGGCCAGGGCGACCGGCAGGCTAGCGAGCCAGTCAAGTGACAGGAGATGGCACGAAGGCCGGTCACGCCACTCCAGGAACAAACACAGTACTATCTGACTGTTTGTCTGGGAAGACGCGCAGGCTCCCTCCTCCGCGCTTCAATGTACACAGAGTTAGCAGCCACGGCGTGAACAGCAATCTCCACACCCGCCTCCTTTTCTCTCCATCTGCCTGCCTGTCTGGGCCCATTTGTGCGATTGGAGAAGGAGATGTCAGAGTGTGCAGGTACCGTACATGTGATGTGTCAGTCTTTGTGAATAGAAAATACAAATACGGACACATATCTTATCCCTGTCAACTCCTTTCCACCTTCATTTGTTCATCTGCCTGCCCGGCCATGAATGTGAACCTATGTGAGTTCCTTACCCTCTCCCATTTCCATCTCTCTGCTCCCCATCTTACCATCTGTTAGCACGTCTAGTTCACTTGCTTTGTTCACTAGCATTGTGTAAACAGAGCAGACAGTGACTGCAGTGTGTGTGAGCAGGGCAAACATGCATATTTGAGAGCTGCACTGGAGAAAGTGGAAAAAGTGGAGGGAAAACAATGAAGCAATTGAAATGCATGGAGAAGGCATGACTACTTCATTACGCTTTCAATTATTTTATGCTGCACTTGGTCTGAATATGACAGTAGCTGTGTTAGCCGAGTTTGTTTTGCTGGGAGTGTGTCTCTACTCTGGCAGTGAGTCTCTCCACTGAGTACCTTAATGAGATGCTGACAGTGCCAGGGGCAACTCTCTTACGCAGTCCACTGCATAGCATCTGAGGCACTCGTGCTGTTTTGCCATTCACACCCTTTCCTTAAAGCTGGCAGCATCCATCCAGCTTTCCCTCCCCCACACATCCACCTCCATAATGCCAACCGGAAAACAGTGAGCTCCCACACAATTAAACCTAGAAATACGGTAGATTCCGAGGGCAAAGAAAAATCCTGAAGCGAAATACTCACTGTGACAGGACGATGGCCACAGCATCATTCAGGACACTCTCGCCAAACAGTAGGGTGTGCAGATCTGGGTCCACATGCAGATCTGACAACAGGCCAAGCACTGAAACTAAAAACAAAACAAGAGTTACTGCTGTTTAAGACCGCAGATAGCACAACAACTCCTCTGCTAATCACACTGAAAAATTGGTGTGCAATATCACCTCTGCTGCTACAAACAGGAGAAAGCAGAGGAATTAATGTTACACTGTAACAATGAGAGCTGACAGAAAATGTCAGCACACTGACAACACTGGAAAGAAGGTTTTGACACATGGAGCAGCCAGAGTAACTAAACCAAGCAAAGACTTGTTCGGCCCCAGCTTAAGACAATACACAAGGCTTGGAAAGCACAATATTTATCTCTATTAAGGAAGCAGAACAGATTGTTTTGCTGCACTGTGTATGGTATTCATTGCATGAATGAACTGTGTAGTCTGTCATTATGCACTATAAAGAAGCATACACCTAATTTATCATTGACAACATGCAATATTTGACATGAAATAGCAGTCTGAGTGTGGGATTGTGTGTTTTACAGGGTACATTTCCTGTGTTTGAAAATCACACTCATACCACCTGTAGTAATAACATGGCAATCTGTGATTTGCTGGCAGAAGCAGCAGCAACAAGGGCAGATACTGAAAATCATCTGAGCAAAGTAAATGACTGAATTGCTTGATATGATTTGTATACATTTGGATCCTGATAGTTTCCAGCTGTTACAATTTCCTTATTGTTAGTGCTGCAGGTGTTTTTCTGTTTCATATCATGTTCGTGTTCAGTGAGCGTGAATATATGTGGGAGTGTGTTTATTAGCTTGGGGCTTTCCTACAGTTCTCACTACAGAGAGAAATAGCAACTAGGATTTGGGGAATCGTGAGAGGTCGATGGAGGGAAAAGAAGGAGATCAGAGCTAAGATACTGCAGCTGATTAAAACCTCCAAAAGGAGCCAATTACTGTCTATTGGGGGGGGGGGGCAACTACAGACGGAGAGCTCCATGCTTAAATACAAAATGTACTCACTGCTCAGCAAGGTCACTCTCACTCAGGTCCCTCTTGCATAATGACTTACAGTGGACATGGGCGTTTACACAGACAAGGCAGTTGTGACTTTGTGTGTATTTGGACATGAGGAGTGCAGTGCAACTGGTAAATGGTACTGTTTGCCGTTTACAGCGTGTATAACATACGAGCACAGTCAAAACTTGAAAAACTTCAATCATATACAAACTGTCGACTACGATGAGAAATCAATTAAAAATCAATAATCAAATTTGAATCCCCCATTTAAAGAAGCTCCCCTCTGCTGCCAGGAAGCTATTTCACAAAGAATCATGGAAAAAGTGTAAACTGAGCAGAACACTGCTGTTTTTGCAAGAATGCCAAACTATGACGTGGAGGTGGACACACAGCTACAGATGAAAAAAACGGTACAGGGCGAGCTACAAAATTTTGTATCCTAGCATCCACCAAGCTTAGGACAGTTTGAGCTGAGAAGACAGGATGTCCAGTGATAAGTCAAACGAAACTGGACCTGCTGTGTAGTCCTGACTGTTTCAGTCCCCAATCATTTACTGTAACTCTGTACAGTAGATGATTCAACTCTTATGTGATGTCAAGGTGTGAACCATCTGCAGAGATTATGATGAGATTCAGATCTGCATTGGAAAATACAAACAGTTTTATTACTCACTTATTCATACAGCTGAATCTCTCGACACACTCTGACTGCTGAGAAGAATACGAGCTGAACTCCATGGTGAGTTCGCCATCAGCAAACATCTAGCGGAAGATGCTGAGCATATGAATGAGCGTGTGCACACACGTACACACACAATGTTTGGCACCGCAGGGTGGCTAAGTGTTGACACTGAGTGACAGGGAGAATACTGACACTGACGAGACAGTGACATGCCTGTCAGCTCTGCACTTCATGACACCTCAAGTATCTCCTTCTGCAAGATATCGGTTGTAGCTTTGTTAGCACTATATTTACTGATACTGTAGATCAGATTAGATTACATGAGATAAATAGAATGATAAAAAGACGGGTAGACAGATATATTAGACAGGAAAAAAAAAATACAGGCACACATATTATAACTGCCACAGCAAAAACCAGAATAGGTTTCCAAACAAGCAAAACAAAATTATCATATAACGAAAACAACACAAACACACAAAACATTTGCAATGATATAGACATGGACAGGAAAACAGAAAATCAGAGCAATGCCAATCTGAAGGCAAGACAATATAATATTCAAAACAACAACAGCTCCCAGTAGATTAATATTCTACCTGAAACCGAGATGCAAACAGAATCCTATAAATTAGTTTCAGGAAAATTTGTGATATGAATAATGAGTCAATTCTGATTGCGCCATTTGGCCCTATCGTGAATACCAGGCCAGTGAGGGCATCACAGTCAGGATACGACCAGACTGATAATAAGAGCAGTGGCAAGAGAGCAGCCTCAGGACTTGTTTTGACAGATCTGGCTCTTTGGTCTTTGACAGGTTTAAAGCTCTTCCTGGTTGGGGAAAATCCTTTATCTGGAGAGGGTGAGGTAGGCCCTGGAGTCAGGACCGTTCCATCTCCCTGCTTCCATAATGCCTGGCTGATGACAGCATGTCGTGCACCACTCACACTGCATAACAAAAAAAAAAAAAAAAAAAAAAAAAAAATGTCCGCCCCACACACACATACACTAGGGTGCGGGTTTGCTGTGTTGTCATGGCAACCCCGTCCTACAGCTGTCAAGTGTTCATCAGTTTCCACAGCAACACCATAAGGTGGAGAGACAATTATTTCAGACATAATACAGTTGAAAGGGTCGAATGGAAACCTTATTAGGTCAAATTACCCTGCTGCAGGGGTTTAGCAGAGGCACAAGCTCATGGCCGTCTCAGCCAGAGAGCGTGGGATTTGCTCACTGATTTGACCAAATTAGGGAGATATAATCCTGAAAGTGATGCATTAGAAAAGAGATAACAGTCAACAGGGAATTACTATAATCTCCCCAGCTCTGCGTAAAAAGTGCTCAATTTTTTAGGCATTGACAAGTGCACAAACAGCCCAACAAGACCGCAGCAGGAAAAGCCTGCAACAGTTTGAATGCAAGTTGAAGTAAACCAATACTTTATGATTAGTAGATTTCTAGTTTGTTTTTGATTACTCTGAATCTCACACTAGTTCATTGGTATGTCAGAACAAGTTCTCGTCAAAATATCCATTAATTCTAATTACCTTTTATAAGCAATTGGAAAAAAGCAAACTCAACCCGTATGTTTTGATTTAAGCTTTAAAGAAATGGAAAATATGAAAGAATTTACTAATTCACATGCTGGTTTTTATATATTTAATGACGCCAGTATTGCACTGAAATCTATGATCCATCACACTAAAGTATTAATTAAGGAAAAAAGCCTGAGGAGTTGATCAAATATTGACAGCTGAGGTGTTTGGGCAAAACAGACAGACCTATACATTTCTGGCAACTAAGCTACTTTCTGTTTTCATAAGTATAGTTGAACCTATTTATATATGCAGAAGAAGCCATAATAAAAACAAATGCACTGGCCACATGACTAAAATACAGAGTCACAGAGACTGACAAATTGTAAAATGCAGTGTTCCAGCAGTAAATTAGGCTTCCTTTCTCTATTAATCTTACCAATTTCACAACATCACATTTCTTTATACTTATGAATTAATTATTATTGCTAATTAAGGTGTGTGGGCTTAGTAAATAGTAGTTGTGGCCTGTCTGTGTTTTCATCTCTGCCTAAATGCTCTGTTGCTACTGCTCTGCTACAATATGAATCCATAGCTCTGTGTTTAATGTTATAAATATTGCACACACCTATGTCTAACTGTTTTTTCAATGTTCACTTTAAGGCTGGTAGTTAATGCTGACATCTGGAACAGGACTGCAGATGTAAACACGTAATTTCCAAGTCTGACAATCCAGCTCTGACGTACGAAGAGAAACATATATGTGCAGTGCGCATGTCAGGAGAACTACTGAAAAATGCAAAAAGAAAAAAAAAAAGAAAAACAGCAGCAAAAAAACCCCAAACAAACAAACAAACAAACAACAGTCTTTCCTTTGAGGAGTCAACTGAGGGTTTCACTGACCTTTGTAAGCATCCCTGAGGCTGGAGGATGCAGCACAGCAGGCATTCCACTTTATGACCTGAACCTTATGCCTTGCTCTGAATCTGAGAAGAACAGGTTTCATGGCTACAGAGCTTTGGGGACTTTCATAAAAACTAACAATTAAAAAAAACAAAACACATTTTTAAATGGATTTTCAAGACTATAAGAGCTCATTGGCTATCTATACTGTCAACAGAGAGATTAATAAAAACACAGAAGACAGATTCAGTCCAGTGTAAAACATTAAGATGTTGCATACAACTTTAACTACTACTACCATTACTTGAGAATTTTTCAGCAATGTTCTCACTTGTTCTCTACCTGTTTAATCCTTGAATAGTCAGCAGAGGCTGCAGCCTATCTTCTGCCCATATTGGGGCAACATACTCATACTGAAATTTATTTCTACATACCACCAGACCAGCATCATGTCTTTGGAATATGAGAGGAAACCAGACTAAAACAAAAACAGACAAGGGGTGAACTTACATAATCCACACAGAAATGTCCAGAGACAGAACCCAAAGACCTTCTCTCTGTGAGGCAACTGTGCTAATCAGCACAGGACTGTAGCCAGGATTTTCAAAATCCTAAGTTAATGAATCCAAATCCCCCAATAGCACAAAGCCAGCTGCCTGAGAAATGTTCGACAAGACACTGAAATATTTCCACATTTTATTGTATTGTTATCTCATTTATTTATCTTGCTGTTTATTTAAATATTCTGGAAATGCTGCTTTAAAGAACCCTCCACACTGTCGGGAATCCAATGTTCAGGGAGAAACATGAAATCTGCTTAAACAGTCATATGTAAAGAGAAAGACTATAAAGAATATCAGATTTGCCCACAATGTGAATTTTTTCTGTAACAGTAGATTGTAAACTTCTCAGGTAATTTAAATCTCCACAGAAAAAATACAAAGGATATCAAATTGGCATATTCAGTGGTAGCTGTAGCCCTACATCAGCATCCAAATTAATAAAATAAATATTACTAGCAACAGCAACATCCCCATGCTGTTGTTACTATCTGCTGCTCTCAGAGGAAGCTTGCTCAAGTCATTAAAGCAGCAATGAAACCCTGGGCGATCAAATATCTCGGTTATATTACAGAAACCAGTGCAAGCAAAGTGGCAAATAAATTGGTCTTCCATTTCACTCAAAGCCTGGCTGGCAGCCTGTGATGACTTTCACTGTGTTCTCAAGATCTCTGTCATTTCAGTCAGTACGTGACATAGTTGCACTTACACAATGAGTCAGCGACACAACCAGCGAGCTGTCACATATGGCTTATGACATGAATAAAATGCCTTATTCCTCAGCACTAAACTGTTCTGGGAGTCATTGTGACTTTATGTCCGTGTATTTCCGAGCGTGTGTCTGTCTGTGTGTCTGTGTGCGTCCGTGCCTGTTGTTTGGGTGAATGCAAATGTACAAGGGAGAGGAATAGATAGGGACATTTTAATGGCTCCCTTTCAGAAAATCAAGAGCTGGTGCTATATTTGGACAGCATGAGATGGAGATGGAGACAGCCTAGGGGTCATGGAGTTTGGGCCATCGATGCATTGCAGTGTGATTCTAATCAAAGTGACGAGGGCGCTGGGGTCGGCAGGGATGAGCACAGCGTGGCATGGGAAAATAACGCCAGTCAGAGTGACAGCGGCACCATAATCTACAGCTCCTCTTTGACACTCACGCAGATCAACCACTTATTGGCATAAATAATTCATTACCAAGTGAGGACATTAACACTGCCACTGTCGCGGTGTCGCAGGATGCCTTACGACTTCCCACTTGACTGCTCTTGAAGAACACAGATTATATTGTGGTTCCACTTAGGAAAAAAGTCCAATGAATTCAAAGCAGTTACATTTACTGAGAGGGCATTCATGACTTTGTTCCTGCATATAGGCTTGGCTATCAATCTGTTATCTGTCACTACTACCCAAGAGACAAGATGGGTATATACAGTTTAAAGCAAGAACAGGATGTTTCTCACACATTTACTTAGAAAGATAGAGAGATGTGAAAGAACAGGTGCGACCTTTCAACACGTGAAATCTGATATATTAACTGATCATGTAATCTGATACTTCAGAGAACTGCATGGATCTGCAGTAACAAATTAAAAGCCAGAAAATTCCTAAATGAGAAGTACACAGTTACTTCAGGAGTCTCAACACATACTATGTCTTTGTAATTTTTTGTCTGAGAATGTTTTGGCTTTTTTGTTTTTACTTGTGTTATGAAGCAAAAAAAGTGTGAGTCTTATAAACGAGAGTAGAAATCTGCTGCAGGAACCAGAAGTTTATAAGTGCGTGAAACCCACAAGTGTTTAAAAAAAGATCAATGCTGCAACTAGAAGGGATGAGAGTTCCTTTGTAAGGCCAACTACCTGGGTCAGTGGCTGACATAATGGCACCAAACAGGAGGCAGTCAGTGAGGGAAAAGTCTCCATCTGCTGCTCGGCCCAACAGTACCATCAGTCTGGTGAAGCCGTAGACGCAGGCCCTGGGATTGAGGACAAACAGACAGAGGGATACACAGTGAGGTCATCAGGGAGTGCCGGCCAGAGCAAGCCTATCAGTCATCCCTCTAACCACAGCAGGGCTTCCCCCAGAGTAGTCTGGGTAATGGGGCCAGACACTAGCAGCAGGTGAGCTGACCCGTTTCCAGACGGAGGCCGCTTAGCACAGGTGTACACATAAAGCTGCGACTGTGCCGGGTAGTATTAAATTTAACCAGTTTCAACATGTGTGTGTGTTTGTACCTACAGCTCTCCCATCCCACACCCTCCTTAGACAGTATCTATCCATCTTCACCGCTGGCGTTCTTTTATGGCAGTATTATAAGCACTTCAACATACTAAAACGGCACAAGAATTATGACTGTGTGTGTGTTTGTGCGTGCACAGAATCACCCGAAAGACTAAAAAAACATGAGGAGAGATTGTGAAGGGCATTGTGACAGAAATAAAATAGAAGCAGTATTTTTATCAGCTCTGGGTCCTGGCAGCAAAGCAAATCTAGAATATAGCTGTCCCAGAATGCACCGCTCCCCCTTATAAAAACACTATACACTGAGCAAAGACGTAATATGTCTATTCAGCTTTTAACACTGCAGTCCAGCTTCTGACTGGTAACTGATGTTTGTTAAGTATTAATCCTGTTACTGTTAAACATCCCATAATAAGCAGTTTGGCAGTTTGTCCTCTAGGGAACCTTTCTGTCCACTGGCATGACTCTGTTACTATGGTGACGGCACACAACCCGTCCCCAGGGCACAGATTTAAAGTATTGCCCTCAGGTCGAGCAGCTAAGCTGTGTTATTCATGTATGTAGGGAAGATTCGAAGTTATGGTAATGATGTGCGGTGTGTGTGTGTGTGTGTGTGAGAGAGAGAGAGATACAGCGAGAGAGAGAGGGTGAGACAGACAAACACAGCCAAAGAGCGAATATACTTCATCAGTGGAGTCAGTGAGGATCCCTTACCCCCATGACATTCCCTTTCCCCTGTAGGATATGGCAGACTCACTAACAAGCAACAGGCCTGGTCAGGTCTGGTGCCTAGCATCAAAGTATGTGCACGTGACCCAACATGTCAAACCCTGCCCTGTTTCCCAGGAGCATTGGGGAAGCAATCCTGGGGCAGGACTAGTGGATAGAAGAAAGAAGGTAGGGAGGCGAGCAGTCAACATCTTTAACACAGGGTTTTAGCAGGTTGAAGAAGCTCATTAATTCCAGTTATATAAAGGGTTTGAACTTAAGCCATGGATAAAATCCCCAACAAATCAGTTGAAAACAACATGCACAATCACCTAGCTGCACCTTTAAAAGTCTAAGAATATCAATATATATTGATGTTACATTTTAAATTCAGAGAAAATTTGTATATTACTGTGGGGGGGGGGGGGGGGGGGGAATCAAGGACTTTAATTTGCTCTGATCATAGAGGCCCATTGATAACAGGCAAACAACAAAACTGGAGTTATGAGGTTTTCACAGTCTCTGTGTGCAGCAAATTTGTGCATCAGTAAGAACTGGTTTCGAAAGATCTCAATTTCCTCCAAAGTCTGACAGCGCCATCTAGCTGTATGAGGCCAGAATAACACAGCTACACATGAGTACTGTTTTTTTGGGTTTTTTTTTTTTAATTTTCTGGCATTTTGCTATTTTTATAGCCGCAGTGAGAGAGAGGCAGGAAAGTTCGGGAGACAGAGAGGGGATGACATGCAGCAAAGGGCCACAGGCTGGACCTGAACCCAGGTCGCTGTGGTAAAGAATAAGCCTAAATGGTACACGCTCTACCAGGTGAGCCACTGGGGCACCCCCAGAAATTAAATGAAATCTGCTTGATTTTTTTTTTGACTGGGCTGTTCATGCACACTACAAAGGTTTTACAGACATTTTGAGTTATCATAGTAAAAAAAAAAACTGTAATTAATAACATTAATGGCAGCTTGGTTTCATGTCAGTCAGTTCCAGTGTCTCACCGTTGTACATGCTGGCACACTGGAATAGCTTACTGGGACACTTAAAACAGAGCAGTAATTAATGTTATTAGCTACACCTGTGCTTTTCCTGCTATGACAAAAAAGGCCTATTGTATCCTGATGCTCTGCACCAATCAACCAAAGAAGCTACTCACAGCTGCAAATAATTTGAGTTAATTGCAGATGAGATGAGACAGCTCCAGAAAGATCCTTATGAACAAAACATAAGTGTTACATCTTTCTGATTGTGAGGGATATTATACATCAAATATCATACTATGACAACACATACTGTATTGTATAAGAATGTAGTACAGAATTGATTAACAAACTGTAAAATACAGTGGTTACCTAAACAAAATAAAACATTTCTATTGATGAGGAAAATATTAACTGAAAATTCGATTTCATCGGGAGAAAAGAACATAGACAATGAGTACAAAGCTTGACTTCATTGTTCTATCACTGATCAAATTTCATATGTTGTATCTTATAAATAAATAAGAATGTTGTCAGTACCAAACCAAAAAATGTCTTAGATTATGACTGTGGGGCTGTGTAAAAACTCCCTGTTTTCAGTACATTATCTAATATCCAGTTATCCAGTAACTCAGCTATTCTCTTACTTCTGTACACCTTGACTTTTGTGTGTTTTATTGTGTTTTTGTTGTGTTAATTTGTGTGAATGACCAAAGACTTCTTACCCTATGGTTATAAAGCTGATTATGGTCCCCAAAAAGGCAAAGGTCAGAACAGATCCCATATTCTCAAAGAATCGTTTCTAGAAAAGTAAATGAAAGGAACACCAATTAAACAAACAAGTCATTCACCTAATACATTATGATATACATCACTATAAATATAATTCACTTCAATTTAATGTAACAATACAAGGCAGTGCTTCTTCAAACTGATGCCCCACACATGGAACAGTCCTTTGATAATGTCTTTTTTCCCCATTTTAGGAGACATGTCAGAACAGCAGTCTTACCTGATTAAGGGTGTAAGCTCCATGGAAGATGATGGGTGGCAGGAACAGATTGAAAAGGACCTTAAGATCAAAGATCTCCTGTAAAAGACAGAGCTGTTGTGTTGGTGACTGACAGGGCTCCATGGGGAGCAAGAGGACTCCATTTACTGAATGTGACTGACTGACAGTCAGATATTACACACACACACATCATTCACTTCAGCAGCTCTGGTTTGTCAGACAGGCGCTAGTTCGTTTCCTCTTTGAATCCCAATGCCACAATAGACTCCAGGCACCACGACAACCTTATCTGTCCCCTCTTTCTAAAAAAAAAAAAAATGTGACAATTCAAACTTATGTGCCAGAGTTCAAGCTATGTTAGCTACCAGAAATTAGGATTCCATGTACCCACACAAAAATAAAATACTTCTCAACAACACTTTAGCATTGCCACTAGATGGTGCATTACATTATCTTAGAGCCATCAGTTGCCTATAATATGATTACTGTGTACTGCATTAGCATTCTGTCCAAGTGCCTTGACTCAGACTTCCACAGCTGATTAAAGTAAAGCATAATACAGAGTGAGAAGTCTAACTGGTTGTGTCAGTCTGCACCGTGGAGACTCCCAGCATTCATTAGAATGGGAATAAGCACGTACCATTAGTATAGCCGCATGTGTTCAGATAACAGACGGAATAAAATTTAACAAAATCCAAGCAGTCGATCACGACAACATTAACCTCAACACAAACGCTAACCAAAGCACACAGTATTTTTGTACATACTGTGCACGTTCTCAGTCTGTTTCTCATCCTTGCCAGTGTGATGCAATGCAAACCACTCAGAAAGGTAGCCTTTCATGTCCTTCATCCCTGAATCCTTTTTATGTCTTTCGTGGGTACATGCTGAGAATCGAACCACAGTGATATTCAATTCAGATCAATGCTACTTTTTCCTGATTCCCACATGCCATCAGGTCTCGTAAAATAGCAAAAAACTTTATTTCAGATTCAATTAAATTTCAGTCTAAAAGGCAAGATATGATGAAGATGCCTGCTGAAATAGGGCTGTGGTCACAGACCTTTGAGACTGGCCTAGATTTTGCTTTTAAAAAACAGACAAGTTGAAGCAGCCTGAATAGCATGAATATCTGGATGAATGAAATCAAGCCTGTCTCTGTGAAATGTCCTATTTCCAGGACACATTGCATTTTGGTTAACATTTACACATGCGTTATATATGGATGTGAAAGATTGCATTTATTTCTTAATTATGATTTCTAAAGCCCAATATAGAGTTTTGAGAGCCAGCGTGCTTTCTCAGTAATTCACACTTGAAATGGTTACTACAAATTGCTCCTATCTTCCTGCTGCTATGACCTGCTTCAATATATATTACTTTTTTGCAGCTGCAATAACCCACACACACAGACACATATATCTATATATATACATATATATAGATATATGTATGTATTTTCACACTGCGTAGCCTGTGCATGACAAATGCAAAAATGCATTACAGAGATACTGACATGCAGACACTGTAATCAATAAATTATGCATATGCCGGTGGTTTTATTCTAAGTGCCACCTGCACCACAGAGCCGAGGATGGAGGTGTGTTGTATACACTAATTGCCTCTTCAGCTGAGCAACACTAAATTTAATCAGACCACAAACTTTAATGCCTTTACTCCCCGATGGCACATAATGGGCTCAGTAATGCAACAAAATCCTTATCTCCTCAGCTAGGTCCCCATATATATCAGGCTTAATGGCATGAAGGCTACACAGAATGGTCTGACCGATGTAATGGCCTTTGTGGTAGCCTCTGCTGGTGTGCTAATGAGACCCCAGCATTCCAAGGGGCCAAAAAGTCTAAGCCATTAGTGAAGAGTTACACTTGGCCTGGATGATTTGCAAGGTTCATGGTTCACTTACTCCCTTTCTCTTGGGTTGAAATATCTCTCTGAGATTAATAAATACATTTTCAAAGACACTCATTCCACATCCTGTCATGCTTGTTGGCCATCGTATTGGCTGAATCCCCGGCTCAATGGTTAGGTTTTTTTTTTTTAAAATATGACACACCACTGTGATACCACCACGAAAATATGAAAGCAAGCCAGAAAACAGTAATAATACTAATGACAAGCAGAGGCCCATCTCAAGGCTTAGGCTCTTCTACTTAGCAGTGATATTAGAGTCACTGACTAATTCCTTTTTAACAAATAATTGCTGTGAGTAGTTTGGAGAAACTCTGGTTTAATCTCCAGCTGTAGTTATAGCATTATTTCTGTTGAACCTCTGTGACAAACATAATACAAATATACTATACTTTGATAAAGTGTTTAAGAATTCTTGCATGTAGAGTTCAAATGAAACATGCAGCTTTAAAAAGTGCTCCCAATAAAGTGATAAAAAGTTACACAGCTCCTTTATTGAGAACATGTTTTTTTGACTTTATGCTTATTATTCTAGCAATATATAAATATATTAAATATTAAATGTAATGTTATAAGTGCAGATTTCTCAACCTCAACATATCAGTATACACGACTGATAATATACTATATATACTATAATATGTAAGGGTAAAATAAAACAACAGATGTTTCAGTTTGGTTCTTTGTACAGAAACATAATGATGTTAAATACCTATAAGCGTAAAAATAAATTATATAATAACTAACAGAACCTCTTTGAGTCAGCAGTGTTTGTAAAAATAACAGATTAGTGCGAATTCAACTCATCAACAGCATGGCTACTGCCTACTAGACAATACAAACATCATTCCTATGTTCACAGCATTTTGTGGTTTGAAATATTGTTTACAGTACATAGTCCCCTCCAGCATATAAAAGATGGTAGATATGCACATCCACTACTGAGTTCTGTGTCAGAGGTTGAGATGGCCATCTTTGTCTGGGAGTAAAATGCTGCAGCGCCAGTTGAGATTAACTAACTATCTCACATCTTTCCTGCAGTGCAGAGCAAATCCGGCACCAATATCACTTACAGGAGTATCTCATTATGGAAATCCTGCATGTAAACACAGAACTAGGATAATGTCTTGAGAGGAACACAAACTACAAGAAAAACTAAATAGGATTTTCTAATTGTATTCACATAGTTTATGTTTGCAGTTGTTGTCAGGAATGTGTGTACAAAATGTTGGTATAAGGCCTTTTTTTCTTCATTGATCAGACCCTTTGTGCTGCTTTACCTGCTCTACAAGAGTCTTAGTATATAGTCTGTTTATTGGTTTCTGTGTTTAGTTGTCTTCTAATTTCCCCTAGTCCACAAAGCATACCTGAAAATGTAATCTCTCCTATCTGTTCCTTAATAAAACCTAATATCAGTTAAATTGCTCTCTTGCCCTCTTTCTCTCTGTACCACCACTCTCTTGTTTCCCTAATAACAACAGACCATGTGGGTAATTTAGAGGAAAACCAATAACTAAGAACCATTAGAGGAGACTGTTGTGTTGATGCAAATACCCAACATAGACAAGGGATGAAATATAGATGTGATCAAAGGGAAGATAATGAAGAAAATAAATGTAATCCAGATAAAATAAAACTACATCAGAGGAAAAGAAAAGCATCCTTTGTGGTGTAGTTTGTTTTCAGATGTCCCTACTATGCAGCTTTTTTTAAGCAAATGTTTTATTAGGGCAGGTTGTTTCAATTTTCACTAGTGCCTTTGTTGTATCACAATGTGAAGCACTAACACTTTTGTTTCTTTGTTTTGTGATATGCATTTGCAGTGAAGGTCAAATCTTACTGCCATGGTTACCTTATGAGGAGTTGAGATCGGCGGGCATCTTAGGTTTAGTTCTTCAACATGTCTGTAACAGTGGCCATGTGATGAGATGTTGACCATCAAGAAGTGAGGAGTGCTGTTCAGAGCACCACAACTGCACAAACTCTCCACGTGCACTCCTCTGTCAAATGACAACCATCTCACTATTAACCCCAGAAGTGTACCTGCAGAGGGTTTCAAAAAAAAGAGAAGAAAGTTATTAAAACTATGGTAATCCTCTAATACCTTAGATACAAGAGAGACTAAAATATTCCATATCATTATCGTCATCATGAAAATACTACAATGCAAAAACATATGACAAAAATGATGGCCCACAATAATTGTATAGATGTACAACATTAAAGACAACATTAAAGAAAACTATTTACATTATGTGTTATAGTGACAAAACATCTATGAAACAGCAAACTTTGGAATATTGCATGAATCAAGTACTGCTGGTTGGTGAGCCCTTAATAGTTTATAGTATCTGGAAATACCTGGCAATTGATGTAGCCTATTTGGTGTAATGATAGGCAAAATTAAATGGTTGAGTTACATTTTTGTATCTCACCTTTTAAAATATCATTATCCTGAACTTTATCATTATTTGAGCTAACTTGGTAGTGGCTGTTGCGTTACTTATGAATGTTCCACATAAAGATAAATTAGTCTGAACAATGTTCTGCAAATAAAAATGGTGGAAAAGGAAGATTAGATGGTGGCCCTCCACTACATCCCTACTAAAACCCAAAACAAGATGAATTGTGACTAAAATGGACTCTATTTTATTAACATTCTGATATACTACTTAAATTCTGAGTTCAGGAAGTGTTGAATAACTGCTTCCGTGCTCTATATTCTAAATAGGCTATCAGCTAAGGCTACTTACCATAAAACATTGCACCCCCAGTTTCATTTATAAGCCTATATTTGAACTGTTTTAACTTCCACACACTGAGAATGGTTAAAAGTGCTAAGCTAACTGCAGCGAGTACCAACACTGCTGCAGTGTCTTGTCCGTGGCCGACAGTGGACGACATCTTCAAAGCCCAGGTCAAACTTTTCGGAAACAAGTTGAGATTCAATTCAGCTGCAGCAACATCCGCATCAGCAGCCAGTGCTGTGCTGCATTTACAGCTGCTTGGAAAGCTTTCTTTTTTTCTCCCTCTGTAACCGGTGGGAAATAGCCCTACTTGGTTTTTTCCACATTTTTTGAAAACAACAAAACTGATTATGTAATTAAGATATTTCGGTGAACATAATTTAATTTTATAAATCAAGAGATACAAAGACATTTTTGCGTAAACAAAATGTCTACAAGGTACGCTACGAGTAAAGAGCAAGAGCAGTAACAAAAACCGTATGAAATTATAACTGGTCAAGGTGTTATTACAAATTACAGCCTGTTAGGTAGGTAAAAACAAGTGGGATCACATTTACTGACTGACACTCCTTATGCCGTTATGTATTTGCCTCGTCTATGAAATAACTCCGGTAATCCCGAAAGCAATGGAACGCACCAAAGATCGGGTGTCAGCCTTTTATTCTCCAGCAGATGGCAGTAAATACAAATGAATACACGCAGAGCTCCTAAGAGCCCACTGTGAAAGGCCGGGACATTGAATTTCCACTCTCACTGTCCCTTAGCGCTAAGTAAATCAGTCATGGCCCTTAATTAGTAGTTAATTAATTAATTAGTCGTTTAGATTTGGTTGTAATGACTTATTTTGATCTTTCATTGACTTCGATTGCTGTAGGCCTACAAAGTAGCCTATGGTATAAATAAAATAATACTAATAATAACACGATAGAAATGTTAAATCTTTTAAACAGGGTAGATATATGTATCAATCAGCGTTGCCCATAGGATAAAACCTTAAATAATAAACTTAACACGGTTGAATTAGACCCATTGGTTGATGGTGTGGAGACAGTTCTAACTTTCAACTGATTATTTTGTCCGATAAAGAAAACGTGGGGCTGATTTTTCTTGGCCCAGTTATGGCCACATACTTCCAAAGCAATGCAGCACAATATAACCAGTATGTCTCTAACATTTTGTATCTTTTTATGTGAGCAGTTTTGAGTTGAAATATTGTTTGTTTTAATTATCATTTCCAGTTTAGCTTTTTTTCTTTCTGATCATGGCATGGTAATATAAAAGTTCAATTTGATGTTGTGTCACGATTTTCCTGAAAAATGTTGCTTTTGGGCTAATGAGGGACTGAGAAAAAAATAGAAATTTTAGCAAACTTTGCATTGGGGGCGGTGTTCTAACAAGACAATATTAGAATATTCGCTTAGCAACCACGGCCGTAAACAGACAGCGGACGTCGTAAAGGGTAAAGAGGCTGGTGTTGAAAAGAGTCGAAACAGAACCCATTGTGGTGTTGGAGAGGAGTGAACCGCTGCCTGAGAGAAGGGGAAATGAGGCAATTCCGTGACCACAAAGGGACTCATGATAAGCGGACTGAAATGGACGTTACTGCACAACACAGACGGTGTTGTCCTTTGTGAAGAGGACTGCGTCGTCCACTCGGAAAGATCCGGTATATGAAGAGTTAAGACTCGACATCCCAACTGTTTATTCCAGCAGCTAGCAGGCTAGCTGGCTAGATACCTAGGAGCTAGAAATTGGAAGACCGTGTGAGTTTGCTTGATAAAGATCTTCGTCGACCTTTGAAGAAGCTGTTGTTTTTAGACATTGGCGGCGGCGATTGGAAGTATCCGTCGCCCGCCTCGCAAGTAGCCGCAACTTTGAAGAATGATATCAACTGAGCGCTAAGCATTTTACTACTACAGACCCGGAGAAGAAAAAGTCAGACAGGTTTGTTTCACAGTTGTTTCTTCTCTTTGCAGACCGTGTTGCAAACGAATCTAGCATTTAAATAACGTGACCTGGCACATCGTGAATTTCAGGAATCGCTTATATGTTCATTTTTGCAACCTCAACCATAACCATTTAAAGAAAAGCAAAAGCAAAAACTCTTTATCGGGTTTTCAGTATGTGCTAACTTAAAAGGATGTTTGACACTGAGCGGCAGCACGACAGTGTTGTTTTTATAAACACATTCTTATCAGATGCCCACATACCCTGAACGGTAACAGGAAGTTTATTATTACTACCATTAGAGCTGCTGCTGGTGTCATTTTTGTTACAGCAGAACTACCACGGCATCTCGAAATGACCGTTTGGTATGTTGCCTGCCCTGCAATTATTCTTATTATCTTTTCGGTCGTTCTTTATTGCACTAGGAAAACATTAGTCATGATAATGACACGTACTTAACCATAAATTAATCTCGGCAATGAAATTAAATAATGCACTAAAATGCAAAGGATTGTCATCATGAACAATGTACTGTACAGCCAGGCTGATGTGGATAATATGATAGACGAAAATGTGCTGTCCCATAGCCCTCTAAATTCCTTTGGCTATTTGTATGCTGAACATATAAAATTAAAGCAACAATACTGGTGTTAGGACGGTATTTATTTGCTTGAGAGGCCATTCACATATTAGATTTGCTCATTGTAAGTATTCCTTTTTTGTGAATTTTGTGAATTGCTTCCCAATTATTTGGCACTGTAGTTTTTGCCTACTCAAAAACACTGTACCTCAACAGGTTTCCACTTGGCCAACTTGATTTGGATTGATTTGCTATGTATTTGCCTTCCTTGTTGGCATGAGTGAACAGGAGGTTGAGCCACTTGCCCATCAGACAAAAAGGCTCAGGCACTGAAATTGAAAGCATAATTCAAAATAATAGCAGAATTGACTTGACCATGAGATTTCCGTGGAATAGTAATTACTGTACGCTCTTTGCAAACTCCTGCCCTTGATTTCTTCAAGGGAAAAATAGATTACCACAACAGTCCTACTGTTTAGTCCAGATAAAGCTTATAATAAGTCCTAAGGAATTTCTCTTTATAGTCTAATGAATACAATGGGCTGCTTAGAATTAATTTTTCCATAACAGGAGACTAATTGTGGAGCCTTTCTGCAAGGTTAGTCGACGAGGGAACTATGAAAATAAGTCAGATGCACTTAAGACGTACTGCTGGTGCTTGATTTGAATGTTTCTCAGCACTCAGCAGGGGAATGTTTTGTAACTGTAGCCTAAAAGCTCCCACGGGAGCAGTGTATTTTTGATTTTGACCCCCAAACTCACCAAATCAAACGGATAAAGCAAGTTCTACAACAGATGGAGCCACATTAGGATCGACCTTAAACAAAATAAAAAATGTCTCTGAGGTAATTGATTTTATTCTCTCCCCCCCTCGCCACCACCAGCACCTAACATATTCCCTATTTGTTTAAACTGAAGCTTGTTTTGGCAGCTTGTTTTAATCAGTTCAAGTGTAACCTCACTTGGATGACATATTTGTTTTGTAATGGCATTAACATGAGATTTAAATTCATGATAACTTTTCCAAACTCTTGCGCAGTGATTCTGGCTCATGAAAATGTGCACCTGTTTAAAATTAAACAAAACAAACATGTACGCAGTTGAGGAATCCAGAGCAAGTCTTCCCAGTTAGAGTGTGTCCTCCCAAACAGCTGCGGCAGTTTGGTGCAAAACAGATACCACTGATACTCTCATTAAAACCTCCAGCTTTTGGTTTGGCCCAGAGATGAATGGACTAATGTTGATGTGGGGATGCTGCTAATTGGTGTATATTCTGAGGACTCAATGTTCCATTAGGCGTGCGAATGTTACTGTCATTCGTATCTCTCCATCACTGCCACATCTTTGCTGTACTGAGGCAATCCGGCTGTGGCTGAATGTTTTTTGTGATCAAACATTATTGACTCCCTCAGTCGATAACCTTGGCAACAGTAGTTCCTCTCTCCAGCTACAGCCGCACATTGCACTGGAAGAGGGGGTGGGTGAGAGGAGGCTTTTTCCGAGCTTTGAGTAGGGCTTCGTGGTAATGCCGGCGGTCTCCGGGGGTAGACGCATTCATGTGTAGGTTTGTGTGTGTGTCCATTCAGAGATGGAGAAGTGCTACTCTGTATTCAAGTTATCTCTTTCCATTCATTTCCATCACAAGAGCAATAGCTCAGAGTTTCTCTCACCTTTCTGTCCATTAGCTATACATCAGTTATATCTCTTTTTGCTCTCTGTCTATTGTACGTACTCCTACACTATATTCCAGTCCCTTTTCACCACTTCTTCTTTGCACTCTCTTTTGCATTTCCAGTGGAATTAATCAGGCATGTTCATGTGTGGCTCGACTTCATTATATCATGATGAAGTTTAGCCTCAGGTGCAGTGAAGGAAATGCGTTAGCCTGAGTGTTGCCTTGCCCTCGAATGCCATTATCTGAAACCGGTTTTACACAATGAGCTGTGGAAAAGATTATTCAAGAAGGAAATTTCTTTTTCAACCCCATCTTTTTTTTATCTAGGTTATTCTGTCAAAATCTAAGTTTAATAAAAGTTGAAATATTAGGATATTACGATGTTATCGTCATCTGCCTCGACCTTTGTCATTCTGTTTTAAGCCAACATGGGGCCTATTGCTTCATCTTGCGCCTTTTCTGTCCCAGTAATGAGCCATTTTGCGGCTCTTAACATCTGCCAAACTTGGAACATTTTGAATGCAAGACTCATCTCCCATGCATGAGGAGTCAGGCATCCTTTGATTTGCCCTCTTTTCTTTGCCTCTCTTTCGAAACGCTCACCGCCGTACTTTGTAGACTGAGTGTGCTGAAAAACTTTTTTACCCCACTTTTGGCAGCGGCTGTGTATGATGAGAGGTAATTTGGTGCTTATTCTAAATAGGGTTCTCCTCTTGGTATTGTGCATCCCTCCTTCTCACAGAGTGCGGAGGGAGCAGAGGCACCGTGGGGAGGAATAAAGGAGAAGGTGGGGGGGGGCTAATTTAAAACACAAGTTTTCTGTGGGCACAGTGAGGTTTGTCCAAAAGAAAACACTGCTTTAAATTTCACTGCCCTTCTATTCCAGTGGGTAACATCTGTGTTAGAATACAAAGCATCTGGCTTTAATTCAGAGCTTAAAGTGAACTTTACCCTTGTCAAAAACCTGAGTAGGCAACCTTGCCATAGAGCGCTATACACTCTGCCTTCCTCTCTGCACGTCCTGTTAAATAACTCAGCCATGGGGTGGCATACAGCAGTAGAGAGTGACACAGATATATAAACGGTTTTGCAGGTGTACAATTCACAAGAAGCAGTCTAGTGGGGTAATTACCAGGGAAAAATATCCCCGTCCTAAATTACCACACCGTCCTTCCAGTAATGTGTAGCAGCAGAGGCAGGCTATAAAAACAAATCGAGTAGCATTTCAATTCTTATACTCTCCTGCTCCTTGCTAAACAAAAGTACAGAATTGAAAATAAGCCATCGTCGGAAGATTCGTGCATTTCACTGTTTACATTTGAAGCATTTTAACATCTGGATTGTCTCTAGTTAACAAGAAGAAAATGCCAGGTGTAGCTTATCCTTTCACTTAAGCAATTAGTACGGTCATTGACATAATCCAAGTAACGCTCCATAGGTAATTGAGGCCTAACGCTTTCTCTAGAGGAGGGGAGAAATCTATCTATCCTCCTTGTGATGGCCGCCAGCTCGTGCATCTCATTATTCCCCGCGTTGTCTGTGTCTTGGTCCGGGGGCTTGCTCCAGCTTTCTGTTGCTCTCTGTAGCTTACTCTCAGGGATGAAGAGGTGAACATCTTTTTCTGGCACTTGGATGAGGTTATGTGTCGTCCTCTCTGAGGCCTTTGTTGACCCCAAGTAAATCTCTTATCTGCTCCCATGATCTTACAGCCACATCTGCGCCTTGACTGCCTGTGTCAGATGCTAAATTGGACTTGAATCAAAGTCGTATAGCAACAGGATATTCAGTCGGCTTCCTCTTGCTCCCTGTAGCAGGAGGCACGAGGCACACATCGTTTTGACTCCCACTGAGGTTGCTGTTTTTTTGGGCGGGGGGGGGTCCTTCACACAAACTTGATTTCCTTATTTCCCATCTTCCATTATATCTTCCTTTTCCAATTTAATATAAATATCTTGTGGAATTCAAATTAGTTTTTTTTTTTTTTTTCTCCACACTGTTAAATTACTGTGTTGGCCTTCTTTTTAGCTCATTCTGAATGAGGCTTGGGTTCATTTATCACATTGCAGGCATTCTGTCAAAGTCAGCTCGATGTAGACCTACAGTTTCTTTATTTGCCTTGCTCGACTAAATGCATGACAAATTATCTTTTTGTACTTTCTTGCTTCTGAGATATCTCAGGTCAACGTGGGCACGAAGTAATATATTCAAAACATGTCCTCTAAATGATTCATTTGTACAGGCTAAAATTACTATCATTGTGTTTCATTATAACACTGAAATATATAAATAAATGTCGTCCCATGTCTTGGAAATTGGTGACATATTACTATTAAGATTTACTGTAGCTATTTGGTTTAATACAGAGTTTTAAATGGTTTAAAGATCACCTATATTTAAAAGATGTAAAAGGAACTCTCATTCACTCTCGCTGTCGTATTATGGTAAGAGGAAAATCATATGCTCACTGTTGAGTTGAGTCATGTTACTTGAGTTACAGACTTGTGGCAAGAATAGAAAAATCCATGAATCATATTTTTCTTTTCATTAAAAAAAAAAAAAAAATGTAGTGCAGCTTTCTGTATTTCCCCTATTTGGATATGGTCTATTTTTACATTACTGATGTTAGCCTGATCTGCTTGAGGTATTTTCAGACAGAGGTTTGAGGTAAGAACTAGCGTATTCAGCTTCTTATCTGACACTCCACAGCCGCACATCTCTCACAGCCGCTGCTTTCTTGGCTGCCTCCAGCCCCCGTGTCCTTCCAGATCTCCGCCACTTCGATCTGAAAGCAAAATGCAAGGAACCCATCGACACGCACACTAATCACACTAGTGTGCCTGCTCGTTAGCCATGCCCTCTCAAGTCAGCTGTCCTAATAGGCATGTCCTAATGAGCTCTAATTGAGGATGGCTAATTTGCATGGCTTGAGTCATTGTCTTTCTTAAAGCGACTTACAAGACTTATAAGATTCATTGCTAAAAAGCTGATTGGGGGGTCTAACATGGCTTCATCAAGGCCAGACTATGGGGGGGCTTGTGAGGTTTTCTGGGAGCATTGTTAAAGCACCGTGAGCCCAAATTGTTGTCTCTTTCTTCCCTGCTCAGTTCTTACTGTTCCCTTCTCTGCTGACGTCACTATGCCTGCTGGAGGTATTCACAGACTCTTTTCCTCCCTCGACCACAAACGTTATTTTAGCGACACCAACCATTTTTCAAAGAAACAACTTCAAAGCGTGATTAAAACGAAGCAGGGCAACTCTGATCAAAGGTTAAACTACACACAGCGTGACTCTCTTCACAATGCAAAGTAAGATTCTTCCATTTGAAGCAAAAAAAAAAAAGTCAAGACTTCTGAGCTCGGTGTAACTGTTGAGGTATGCAGACGGTGTGTAATTTTGCTGTGCATGGGAACAAAAGTGATGGATACTTCTGTAGCTGCAGAGGGAGGTCCTCTGAGGAATCATCCTCTGAGTGCAGCACATTTTATTTATACTAGGAGAGGATGTTGTACATTTCCTCTTAATTTGATCACTGACACTTTATTTTCCCTTTTCCCATACTTTTATTTATCTTTCTTATGTTGGGGGAGTATACAAGAAATTATTTCCCAAAGAGAAGGAGCTCAAACAGGCACAGGCAGGTTTATTGCATTGGCTGTGGGCCATCTCATTTCTGCTCAAAAAGTAATGAAATCTCTCAAATGACCCAAGCAATTCAAATTTGTGAGACAATTTCATATGCCAGAGAAAGTGCTTCTTTGTTTTATAGGCGGTATTGCATGTTATGACTTAGGTTTTCAAGTTGCAGGCCCAGCAGAAGAAAAATTAAATAAACCCTTCTCACTTGTTATCCATAACCAAAAGGCCAATTTTGCTGTTTTATAAAATGTAGTTTTTTTTTTTGTTTTTTTTTTTTTTTGCCCTGATGTAATGAGTCCCTCTCTCTCTTTCTTTGCTTGATTTCAGGCCTGCTGGCTCGAGGTTGCACACAAACACCAAGAAGGGAGAACATGACTCACTGGCCTCTGCCAGAGACTGGCACGGGGCAGCTGTGCCAACCTCGCCCCTGCCTGCCACTTTAGAAGATACCCTGGTTAACCATGACAGAGAGGCATTGAGGTTAACTCCCTGACGATCATCTCAATACCTCTCCTCCTCCCTATCCCTCAAGACCCCCCCCCCACCCCTGCCCCGTCCCCATCATGCTGCGCTTCCTGCCTCTCAAACTTGGCCGCCTGTACCGCTGTCTGAAGCTCCTGTTGGTGGTGGGATTGTTTGTCATCTTGTTGATGAACACCCACAACCTGTTTGCCTCCTTCCAGAAGAATGAACTCACTGACAGACGCTTCATCAACCTCAACAAATGTCCCGCCTGCTTTGGCACCAGCTGGTGTCGCAAGTTCATGAACGGCCAGGTTTCCTTTGAGACCTGGGGCCGCCTGCGATTCCTAGACGTATTCAATGTCAAGAACGTTTACTTTGCCCAGTACGGTGAGCCCAGGGAGGGTACCCGCCGTGTGGTGCTCAAACGGCTCGGCTCCAACCAGGAGCTGGCCGAGATAGACCAGAAAATCTGCAAGAGGGCCACGGGCAGGCCGCGCTGTGACCTCATCCAGGCGATGTACAAGACTGAATTTGCCCGGATCAACGGTGACGTGCGTCTGCTCACCCCTGAGGTGGTGGAGGGCTGGTCAGACCTGGTGCACTGCCCCTCTCAGAGGCTGCTGGACCGTGTTGTCCGCAGGTATGCTGAGACCAAAGACTCAGGCAGCTTCCTGCTCAAGAACCTCAAGGACACAGAGAGAATGCAGCTGCTGATGACCTTGGCATTCAACCCCGAACCACTTGTACTACAGGTACTTTGTCTGTTTGAACTTTTGTCAGTGTTGTGTGTTTTCGGCACAAAATGTGTATGTGTGGGCTTTTAAGGTTATGTTTTTCATTTTCTGTTGAGGGATGCTGAGTGACTATTACAGCCTTTGAAGAAAATATTGCATCTTGATAAAGAGGTGTCTGTCAGCTGATCTGTGGCACCAGGTGTTTTCAGAGTAGTTGATAAGGCACAGCTCCTGGACTTTGCTACAAAGAGGAGGAGAGCATCTTTACAAAGTAAGCCAGGGTGCTGGCCCACAAAGCCCCCAGTAAATTACAGGGTTGGAATCCTCCTTTTCCTCCCTCTTCTATAGATCTGAGATGAGCCATTACACCCTCCCTAAACTCTGGGCTACATCGAGACTACACACCCGCTATCTGGAGCACGAATATTCCTGTGCTTAGAATAGAGAGGGGTTTAAGAGCTGTGGCCTCCCAAAAGATGAGAGATTTTGGCTGGCGGCAATACTGCATATTTAACACTATATGTAGGGCAGTTTTGAATTATTCAAAGATGCATCTGTAAATGGCCCAAGTTGTTTTTAATTTTAATATACGTCTATGTCCGCTGGATTCTTGTCATTTGTGGGAGTCAGTAAGTGCAGGGACTCTACTCTCTACAGGGCTACTAAGTGGGGTCAGCACCAATATTCTTGATCCTCCACTAATCTTCCAAAAGAATAGCTTTTTAAAGTTTGTGACCTGTATCACTGTCTTAATTTCAGCATTACAATAAAAAAAAAAAAATAAAAAAAAAAATAGGCTGAAATTTACATCGTGAATGAACTGGCGAAAATCAGAAGATATAGTTGTAAAAAATACAATGCCTTTTGAGGATTTAGTGTTTAGTTTTGATGAGGCCGTGACTGATTGAACACTACTACAACAACCCATCTCTATTCTGTCAACCTGTACGTCAAAACAACCACACTGTATATCATATAAGCACTATCCACTTCCTTTTCCCTGCACTGATTTACAAGGAGCCAATCAATTTCAATTATAGTCTGGCATTGACTGGGTCTCGTGAGGGGACAGAACAACAGTGGTCATGCCCCGTGTAGACATTCAATAACTTACTCTGACCTCCAACAACACCCCTCCCTCCCTCCCTCCCTCACTTACATATAGGGCTGGGCACCCCCAGGCATTTCGGAGGACAAAAGGCGAAATCAGCCTTTTAGGTCGGTTGATCTATAAAATCTGATTAGACTTTCGCGGCCGCTTGCCCTCCCCCTACCTCCCTCTCTCCTCTTTTCATTCTCATTACAGCTTTCTTCTGTTCATGCCATCCTTCCCTCTTTTTCTTTCTTTCCTTTTTTTTTGTGTGTACGCTCCACAAGCTCTGGCCAGATAATTCCATCAGTGTTTTTAATGCCATTATGCTCCAGTTGAGAGGCTCTGTGAATCGCCCTCCATTCTTATCTTGCACACATCACACACCAACGCATCATGCACACACATTGTCCACAGCACTCTTCGCTCCCTGCTCCGTGTATCCTTTCCATGTTTACGGGGACTCATGAATCGTTGATCTCATGCTGAACTTGTGACCTGTGGGCATAGGAAAGAACCGCGGGGTCTGTGTGCGCACAAGGCCAGGGGTAACAGATGGTGAACTTAGTTTGTGGGGATGGATAATACACAACGAAATGTGCCAGACGATCTCGGAGAATCACAGATCTGGAGGGCCTTGACTGTTCGTCAGCATCACTGAACTCAAAAGATGAGGAGGAAAATTTGCTGAGAGGCTGAGAGACCCTATGCACAAGGTTGGGCAGCAAGTAGACCATAAAGAATTAATGGCGTCTATAGAGAATGGACAGGAGACATGCTGTACTACAACACCTTGGTCTCCTTTTTTGCCAGAGGTTAGTGCTACTGCAGGGGGGACTGTTTTTAACTAAAGATAGAGGAATGTGGGCTGGATTTTATGTTCACTTATTTAATGAAACCTGATCCTTATTTCAACTATTAATCATCTAACCTTCTTGTCAGGCCTCGAGCAATGCTTCATTTTCCCTGCTATAGTTAAACACCTCTTCAGTAAGTTGGAGAGGCCAGTATCACTCAGTGTATAATTAAAATTTGCTGCATTTAAGTGTAAATGATTTCCTACTCTCATTAGTCGCCAGTGCTGTGTTTATGTGGGTTTTTTTTCTGTCTCTCTCCTCTGGTTTTGTACAGTTGTATAATGTGAATAACATTTCTGCTGTCTGCTCAGTAAGCTGCACTCTCTCTTAGAATGGCTTCTGTTTCCAGTCTTTTGAAGCCACAGGCAGTAAATCGGCCCTGTTTTCACTATGAGAAACCAGACCTTCTTTGTCAGTGGGAAACAATCTGCTGTGTTGTTTCGGGTCTGGCCAACAATGCGTTTTCTGTGTGCTCTGCGGTACACAAGCACGCAGGCATCCACACACACACACACACACACACGCACACACAAAACACCCCCACTCCTCTTGTCACGTGGAAGACAATTTGGCTTTGGGGAATAAATATTTTTGGAAGACAAAACGACGACAGCCAAACAAGAAAATCCTTGTGCAACGAGACTTCATCTGTTTTCTCTCTTGTTTCCTTTTAACCAATGCTGTTTGTCTTAAGGTTGCACAGATAAGTCGGCCTGGACAGGTTTCTGTTACTGCGATCAATCAACTTGTGTCAGGGGAGTTATCTCTTTGCCAGCTGGAGAAATGACATGATGCTGTTTAATTTTACCTCTTATTTGACAATAACTTGGTTTGCATGAAAAGTGAGTAATTCATTCTCCTCGTTTCCCCGGCTAGAATCTTATTTGCCATCCTTGGCTTCTTTCCTCCGGCTTGATGACTCACTGATTCATCAGGTGATGGTTGTGTTTGATGGAGTACATCTGGCTCAACCTTAAATTAGTTCGATTTAGCCTAGTCCTCCCTTCCAAATCATTAAGCTTGGTGAGTTAGCCAGGAGCATGTGACTGCACTCGCACCCTTTTTGGTCCTCAGCCCTGTCTTGCTCACTGAAGCTGAGAATAGGATGTGACAGGCCTGTGGGGTTAACTCAGTCAGCGGTGCTCTCATCTCCTCCAGACTAAAATCTCTGCTCTCCCAGACACCCCTCTCCCTCTTTTTATTACCATCTCTCCCCACCTTGCACAGATCCACCTCCTCATTCAACACCCCGGCCTCACCTGACACAGAGACATACTCCACAGACGGCAGGAGCCTCTCTCGCAGCACCGTCTGTTTTTCCCAGAACACATCTGACACTGATCCTAAATCAGAGAAGAGACGGAAGACAGAGATTAGAAAGATGACCTTATCTCCTAAGATTTTTGACAACAGCGTTTTAAAGCAAATGCTAAAGTAAGCATTCACAACGCTTTCAGCGAACACGCAAGCAGCTTGTTTGAATTTTTTTTAATGGGGGGGGGTGGCCTCTTTGGTATGCTGCTGATTTAATGAGGCCTCTGCATAATCTATTACGATGCTCATTTACTTTGGGAAGCTAAGCCAAAATAAAGGTGATAAATTCGGGATTTTTACTGGCACAAAGTGAAGCAAAGGTGGTGCCTCAACCATGACCTACTGAACCTCGATGTATTTTTTTTTTTTTAGTAGGAAGATAAATTTAAATGCACCAGGTCAAAAGTAGATGTGCAACCTGCCTACACCAGCTATGAGTCAGATAATCTTCTATCTGTATAATTAGAAACAAAAAATGAATCATGATTTGGCATTAAAACATGTTTTGAATGAAACAATAAAGAGGCCAGACAAACAATAATTATTGCAGATATTCCTTTTTACATCTGTAACATAAAAACATCAAACAGGGACACCTTCGAATCGAATGCAATCCATTAAAACAGCCCTGCCATTCTTTATGAAGGTTAATTGTTATTTTACTCCTTTCTGAGACTGTCTCAGAGGCCACACAGGTAGTTTGTGGTAGTGATGGATTGCACAGTAGGAAAAATATATTGTGTCTACAGTAGTCAGACATTAGAGGAAAAAAAAAGTGGGACATGATACTCTTTGCACACTAAGATGGATGCATCGATCACAACATTTCTACAATAATTGATATTGCAGAAAAAAAATCCTTTTATTTTCCACATGGTCATGCTCTGGCAAAGGATGGACAGTATTCCTTTATTTCGTCTGTGCAACGAAAATAAACTCTGCAATCTTATGGTCAGGCTTTCTGGGTCATGCCTCTTTTACAAAGAGGATCAAAGCTGTTTTGTTTTTAGTTTTATTTATTTCTTTTCATTTAATCACAGAGACTGCATGCTATCCCGGCTTAAGTGAGAGCTTTCTGTCTCTAAGGCCGGCTCAGTGGCTGAGGTCCACCGGTAAATAGTATTTAAGTTGCTAGTCTGTGATTAGCACCTTTGTTTTTGGGTCTGGGGGATTGTGACGCTCTTAGGACATAAGAGAGGAGGATGTGTACGCCGCTTAACCCTGCTTCAAGTGCTCCCAAACCCCCTTTCATTATTCTTATAGGCCTTTGTGTACAGACTGAATCCTGTTAGGATAAGACAGGGAGTTATCTGGGCCCGACTCCCCTCTTTTGGCTGCCCTCGCTGGATGGAGGCCCTGGTGGAAAAGGGAGAAGAGAAAGAGGAGGAGGAGGAGAGGAGCAGAGGGTTTGTGTGAGTGTGTGTGAGTGTGTGTGTGTGTTGTACAAGCCAGAGCCTTGTGGTGTTTTCCCCCCATTTGAATGAGCCAGACTGCTTGTGTTACCATAATCCTTTCTCTCTTTCTCCCTCTCTCCAAACACACACACACATATATAGATACACACACACACACACACACGCATGACAGCTGTGTTTGGTTAGGTAAATGCCTGTGGCCTAACCCCCCCCCCCCTCCAATCCCACCCACCAGCTCCTTTTTTAGATTTCTCCCCCCACCCCCGACCCACAGCTTCCTACTGTTACAGCCTGCACCCCCAGCCTACCTTATGCCCAGCTCCTGGAGATGCAGCTCTGCAA